ATGTTGAAAAAATTACAGTTTTCATAAACTAAACATTTACTATCAAGCGATGAGGAGTTATTTTTGAAGACTGCACTTTCAGTTTTCAAAATATAAACAATAATGAGATGAAAAAATGGCTTCAGTCTTATGTTGCATTTGTTATGAATAGTTATTATCTAATCGATGTTTGGAAAATATACATTTTATTGAATGATTGTAATGAAAATACTGTTTGTGTATTTTCTATAATGTTATCCAATTTGGTACTGAAGAGCTCTGGGGCAAGTGTTTTAAGCGAAACATCGATGTATACCAGTGAGGATGACAGTATTCCATGTAAGTGCAATTTTTTACCATTCATTTAAAGTAGAACTCATGTGAATGGTATCTGATTTTTATTCCACAACGAATGTTTGAAATACAAACTGAGTAGAGAAAAGTATCTTCTATATGTAGATACTAACAATCGAAACGTCGTGAACTAACGTGACTTGGAATCTGCCAACTTTTTATTTTTATTTTCTTTTTTCATTTCTTTATTGTCATTTATTTTTGTTCAATTGTTCTATTTTACTTGTATTTTATTTCACTATTATTTCATTTCAGTTTTATTTTGCTTAATATAATTATTATTTTTAGCTATTCATTTTTAATTCTTCTTTTTTAGTTGTTTCGGGGATTTCAAATCATTTTATATAGTAGACAACTAGTGATATTTACAAATATGTGTGATCATGCATGGAAGTTACTTTTAGATACAAACTGAAAAAAGCTCTGTTGTGAAGGTTCTTTCATTAGACGCTTCCTATCCTATCCTATAAATTAATATAAAACAAAGTGTCTGTGAGAAATCATCAAAATTTCTTGTTCATTTGAAAGACAAATTGATGCCATTATGTAGGAATATAACATCGTTCAAATGCCCGCCACGGCTTCTCTGGGTGAAACGCATCTGAAATGTCCAATTTTCCATGACTCTGTGACTGAATTTGATCGATGGCATGGGTTATGTTGGCTTTGAGGACCGTTGTGATTTGTAGGTTATTTGCATACACCTGCGACTTAAGAAACCCCCACATAAAAATTCTAACGGCGTCAAATAGCACGATTTTGGTGGCCAGTTCACATCTCTCCACATGAGATGAGCATGACCTCAAATCGCTTGTGCAGAATATTCAATATGGCATGAGCTGTGCGGCATGTAGCGCCGTCCTGTTGAAACCACACGTCGTTCTTGTACAGATTATCCAATTCAGGTCACCGATGATACTGATGGTCTGGCTAACGTTGTTCCCGAAGAAATATGGACCGATGACGCCGTCAGCCCAAAATACACACCAAACAGTGATTTTTCAGGATGCATTAGATGCTTCTGGATCTCATTTGAATTGGTATAGTTCCAAATTCGAAAATGTTGTTTGTTCACATATCTATTCATCCAGAAATGGGCCTCAACACTGAAGATGAGGCCCCCAACTGCTCCAGAGCCCATTCGGTGAACACACGTCGTTAGCTATGGTCGTTTACCTTCAGTTCCTTGGTCAGTTGAATTTTGTACGAGAGCAGGCCCAAGTCGCGATGCCAAATTCACCAAGTTGTGATCTGCGAAAGGCCGAGTTCTTGTGAGCGGCGCGAAATCGTCCGCCTAGGATTCTCCTGCACACTCTCACAGACAGCGAAGATGATTCCGGCAGATCTTGAATTTTATCGACACACGAGTATTGGTTGATCGTTTATTGAACCAGTGGTCTCAAATTTGTTCATCACATTGCGAATAGTTTTCTATGTAGGACGATTATTCCAATCGTAAAATGGGCTAAGCTCGCGGTATGTTGCCCGAATAGAACACCCATTTTGAAAAACCAATTTTTTTCATTTGCACGTGTTCTTAAATGCTATATTCGTCCATGGTAATTTGGTAGATCCTGCTGAATAAATGACAACTAATTTGACATAATGAGACAGATGTAGCTTTATCAAGATGGCCGTTATCAATTGCCGAAGTTCGGAAGTCCTTGATGAAAGACCCTATATATAGATGAAGCAGTGAAAGCCAAAATTATCACTTTTTCTGATATTATACTCGTAGATCTATCGACAGTACCACAAAGACACTTCACTAGAGTTTAACATAGGGTATTCCATAATTAGCGGCTGCGAATCCGGAATTAGGGACAACAAATTAAGGGGGCCGAAATGATCCCTAATCCACTTTTCACCCATCGCGTCCATCTTAACTCCTTTCGACCCCCTCACTCGACAACTCCTCTAAACATCATAATCCCCAGCGATCTCGAAATTCGAAAGCCACTTCTTAGAATGTTGCGACGTACGCGGGGAGAGCCTTTAAAGTAAGTCGCGGATTAAGCCAGTTTATCCTGTAGTATCCTGTTGGATAGTCCTTACTTTAGCTATCAGCATTAAACAGCAGCGGCAGGGATTTCGTGAATTGGGAAGTTACTCGTCGGTAATAATGTAAGCTACCTAGATGGCTGCTTGCGGTCAGTGCCGTAATGGGCAATTTTGGGATGCTGAAGGGCATCTCTGAGGAATGCAATCGAGACTGGCTGTGATTGTCTAGTGTCTGGGTAGTGTTTTGTTCCTATTTGGTTTACGATAAGGTAGTCTTGACTGAATATCAGTACGAATATTTTTCAACTTTTTACGGGGCGGAATCTAGGTTTTCAAAATTACACAACTTGAAATTTGAAAAAATAAAATTAACCATGAATCTGCTCAAGTGTAATGAAGTGCAAACTGATATGTTACACCAAAAAGGAACCGTTTAATATAAACCTTTCAAATTAAATGAATGGTTGAACGAAACTACAATTAATGAAGGCGAATTCATTTGAATTTGTGAATGTTTATAGTGATCAGTGGCTAAGACGTTAACTTCGAAAACATAGAAACCAAAAAATGCTTCATGAATTAATAAAGTTTTTTAGAGAACTTGTTCGATTGATGACCTATTCATTTTGTACAAATTTATATTGAATATGAAATGAAGAAAACAACTTTTGTCTAATTTTTACTAAGTTTATTATTTGTTACGACTGGTTTATTGGACCATAGAAAAAATGTGAAACATTAACCTGAAAAGTATCGAATACATGAAATGAGATGTGTGGAATAAGATATGAAGGTTTGTATTGTGCAAAATGGACACTGAAAAGTTGCAATTTTTGTATTTCTGGAAGGCTGTAACTCTGGAAATGAGGGCGAGAACCAATTTTTCCTTTCGGTTTCATAATCTGCACGTCAAAATACGTAAGTAGACCCAATTTTTTTTTCGAAATCGGATAGCCTATCCAGAATTTTACCAAAATTCCCATATTTCAAATTGAGGCGTTTTTTAACAGTATTATATTTGAGAACGAACCTTCGGCCATTTTACGAAAGCTTTAAGTAAATAAGTTACTGACTCTTAAGAGGTTTATATTCCGCAGTAATTTTTGTAGGTGGAATTTTCAGTTTGCCTTTTATTTGCGTTCGGGCAGATTCTTTGTTAATCTAAATTCATTTCATTTCCAGATTGTGGAAGCTAAATAATCCATAGAAATGAAGAAATATTTGAAAAACTCCCACTGCTAATGCCCCGAATGATTTAAAACGACCAACTAGGTTTCGACATTTATTTCAAAGATGTATTTTTTCGTTACTTCCAATTCATATGGAAATATCACAGTGTAATTTATTTTTCCTTTGATTGTACAGATAGTAATTCTTCATGAATAATAATTGATTTTATTTTTGCTAGGAAATGATCTATTGGTGAGAATTACTATTTTTCAATTTTTCTTAGTTTTTGGCAGAGCATCAGTTATCAAACCAGTGAGTACCTATTATATTCCACCTACCGACGAAATTGAAACTGATGAAATTATGCACTAGACTCTTTGTTTACCATGAGACCAAGTGAAACTAATTTTTTTGTTATCGTTCAGAAATTCATGGAAACCTGTCGATCAGAAAATTTACATTTACAGTTTACAACTAATTGATGTGATTGTTGTGAATGGAACATCAATTTAGAAACTAGTAACATTTGAATAGTTTTCAACTGAATGTTTTACTCCGACTGAATGTTTTATTTGACTTCTATTTGGATGTCTCGAGATTTATCCGTAGATGGATAAAATGGGTGATCAATTTTTTATTTTATCATAAAATTCTCTACAAAAAAACGCTGGCATAATTTTTACGAAGAATTATCAATTTTTCTGAATATGTCGGAAACTCTTTAAACTTCAACAGAACAAAGTTTCATTTCTCATTTTTGATGATTTTCAATAACTTGGATATATTTTTCATTATGATTGTTTTCAACTCAAAAAGTAAAAAATATAGTTTTTGGAATTTTCTAGTATGTAATATTCACAATTTCCCAAACAAATTCCAGTTGAAATGGAATTGAACCGAACATTGTAATGAACTGATATGAAACTAAACCACTTTCAACCAATTTTTTGGTTGTAGAGGAATTTTTTTGTTTCACATGATTCTCTATATTGAAAATGTAATATTTTTACTAGGTGAGCTTTATTGAATGGATGAATAGTATTTTGCCATTTGCATTTGATTACTGAAAGTTTTTTGTGATTAGAAAATAAAACAGTCCTCTTATCCTTCGAATAGTTTTCATATGTGCAATTTTTATTGAATATATTTGAATTAATTTTATGTGAAAAATAATGAAATTTAATCCCTTTCAGATGGTTGAGTTGGTTGCATATTTTTCTTAGTTTCCTAGGTTTCCTAGTTATATCTATGAAATCAATTAGGGATTTGGAGAAATTCGAGCAGTTATTTCATCACTTCTTGGTTATACTATATTACATATGAATTTTCATCGATTCAGAACTTTTCAAAGGATATATTCAATATTCATTTGTAAAAACCAAAAACCAAAAAGAATTTGATTTCAAACTGGTCATTACGAGTCATTTCAACCAAATTGAAATTCTTTTTTTTAATATCACAGTGAAAGAAATTATTCGGAATGAAAAACAACCTACCTGGTATTGTTGCAAACTGCCTCTATCATTTTTCAAATACCCCCGAAAAACTTCCGAACCGAAACTCAACCATCCTCCGGTGTCGTTTTTGAAAACTTGACAAATTTCACCGACATCTGAAGAACATAGTCAACAGCAGGAAAAACAAATACCGACGCCACAAATCACAACTTTTGGTTAGTTTTCAGTTTGTTAACCTCACGCAACTTCCTGGAAACTTTCTTGGGAGACACGCACACGACAAAACTCTCCTCGCGCTCTCTGTAGACTGTGTGCGTGAGGGACACGCACAAAGCTGCAACTGCAGGAGAGAAGCACAGCAGGATTGAAGCAGGACCGAAACGGAGAGCGTCGTATCGGCGGGAGTGAGTGTGGCGAGGCGCGCGCAGGAATGCAGCCCTCTCGGGTCTTACGTATATAGCCTTGCCCACCCCTTAGGATAGGGTCCAGCAGGAGAAAAAGGAACGTTGTGGTGGCCGGCTACTTCTGCCGATGACGACGTCTTTGCGAGACGGTGTATGTTCTCGGTACGCGAAGGATTATTTGTGAGCTTCGGTTTTGTAGCAGAAAACATGTCAGAAATAGGGAGGAAGAATCTGCTTATTTATTTCGTGTGATCACAATTGCAGGCTCCACAAATTTCTACTACTGACACTAATTCAAACTGTAACCTTATGTTGAAGAGGAAGATATTCAATATGATGTGTTGAAGGATAAATATATATTTCGCGTGGTAAAAGGTTTTTACATGGATATAACTCTTTCACGATAAGGTACAGCAAAAAAAAATAACGTTGTGATGGCCGGGTACATCTGCCGATGACGACGTCTTTGCAAGATTGTGTATTTTGAGTAGGCGGAGTATTATTTCAGAGCTTCAGTTTTGTAGCAGGAAAACATGTCAGAAATGGGGAGGAGTAATCTGCGTCTTATTTCGTGTTCACAATTCGAGGATTCCCAAATTTCCACTAATTTAAATCCTATATTGAAGAAAAAAAGATTCAATATGAGGCGGTTCAGAATATAATTTTATATATTTCGCGGGATAAAAAATTTCACATATATATCTAACTCTTCCACGATGAGGTACAGCAGGATAAAAAAAACGTTGTGATGGCTGCTACTTCTGCCAATGACGACGTCTCTGCAAGACTTTGTATGTTCTGAGTAGGCGGAGGATTATTCCTAAGCTCACGTTTTGTAGCAGAAAAACAACTAAGAAATGGTGAGGAGGTGTGTGTTTCCTGAGGTAAGAGTGTGTTTGAATGGATATGACTATTTTAGGAAGACGTCCAGCAGTAGAAAAAATATTGCGGTGATCGGGTATTTCAGTCAATGCAGACGTTCTTGCGTGAGATTTTTTTTTGAGTTTTCTTTTCGGAGCGAGAAAACATCATTGAAATATTGAGGAAGAATATTCGTTTCATTTCTTTTTCATTAAAAAAGTTTTACTACTGGCATTATTTTCATATTGGACACTGTTGAAGAGACAAGGATTTAACGAATATATATTTGTGAAATGGTGTTTAAATATCTCGAGAGAGTCATATGGCTGACTCTCTTTGTATATGGCCCAGCAGTAGAAAGGAATATATTGCAGGAGAGGAAGATCGATGGTCGTGGAGAAAGCCATCAAAGTAGCTCTACTATTATAATTGCTATGCAAAAGTATTTCAACGGTGAGCAATGAATCAGTATCATTTTGTAAATGATATATGCATCAGGAATTTGTTCCTGGTCATCGCCAGATATTTCTTTGGCGCTAGCTTTCCAGGATCCTGGCATCCCAAGATGATCCTGGCAAGATTGTATTCTTTGATTCCATCCCATCTCTTTAGGGATTGAATCTAGCTTGGGTGTGACGTTCGGCTAGTTCCGCATTGTGGAAGTAATCAGCCCGTAGGTGCCATTGGGTCCTGAAATTCTCAGTCCAGCCGCTTCCCTGGCTAAAGAGTCGGCAATGCGATTACCTTTACTCCTGTAGTGCCCTTCAACCCACTTCAGGACAACTCAGGAAAATGTTATCTACCGATGCTTTCTTGGTGGCACTCTAGTGCTATTTCTGAGGTAACACGTTGTCTGTTCAAGGCTAATAGGGCTTGTCTGCTATCAGTGCTGATTGTTATGTTTCTACCAGAAATTCTTTTCCTGGTTATTTCTTTTGTGGCGATTGAAATACCAGCCTTTTCTGTTTGATCGATGCTAGTATTTTTTCCCATTCCCTACTCAATCCTCATGCTTAGTAATCTGGAATACATTTCACATCCACATATATGCGTATTATATTTGTAGCATCTGACTCTGTGTTCTGTTTTAGTTATATTCATTACGAGAAATTACCATATAAGTGAATATATACATTGTCTAAGAAGGGATTGCTGAGTTTCTTCTAACAAAACAAGGTTTCATTAAGTAGCTACTCACAAATCCACTATGCCAGTCTATTTATGAAATTAATTTTTCTTGACTAACGATGAAAATCATGATGCTTCCCAAGGAGGTTCGTTTCGAAGCAAAGCGTCCACAACGATGGCCAAACGTTATCTGTCCTGTGTCCTCCACACAGCCTCCACTGCACAGTCAATCATTGAAGACATAACACTTGTAGTCCAATACAGCACTGTTTCGACCCATCATGGGTATCATTGGTGATGCCAGACATAACCACAAATGTATTGCTGGACCCAACTGTCCTTGAACAACTAATCTATCGATCCCATAGATAACATCTTTGTATTGGAAGATGACTTCCTTGTTGTATCCTTTGAGGATAGTAGAGTTCAGCAATGTATTGGTGGTTCAGCCCATTACCTCTGATGGATCGAAATGACGTTGTTTGGTGCTGGTTCTGCATTTTTTTAGTATTCTCAACAATGAATATACCTCATGAGAGGAATAAATTTGGGAATTTTTTTAGTCAATTCGTGAAATCTTTCGTTACAGTTATTCCTCCAACAAAAATTTCAATAAGTTTAATTTTTCTGTTGAGTTACTAAAAATGAAATCCGGAAAGTGATTCAATTTTCTAAATTTCCACTACAACTGAATTCCAGTTCAGTTTATTGTTTAATTTTTTCTCTTCTTGGAGAATTTGTTGCAGAATACAAACTGGAACAGACTTGTTCATTCATCGTTTCGAGCATTGTATATCCCCAAGTACCTGGAAACTGTCTTCCAGAACTTCGTCGAATCCTAATCTCGCTTTCGCCATCATCCGAAAAGTATTTCCAACTTTTACCCACTTCCAACCGAAAAACAACATGGCCGCCGAACGAAACTTTCCCTCATCGATTTCTCTGCTACCGGGTCCGAGTCGAAATGTAAACAACATCGATTTCACAAAATTCATGCCGGCTACCATAAAAAGTTGGGTTTAATTTCGAACTTAGTCCACAAACTCTGCTGACGCAAATTACACTTACGTTCTTCGGTACTTTCTCTTTCTAACTTGCGTGAACTAGTTTTGGAATTGTTCGTGGGGTAGGTCGAATTTTGCAGTCAGTCGTCGAATTAGCAGAAGTTCGTCGGCCAACTTTTTTTTTCCGGGAACTCGCTGCGCCTTGGAGGGGAGGGATGAGAATTTGATGGCCGCCACCACGTGGTTTTGAAGTTCCAGTCTACTTCTTGGAATTATGCAGACAGATTGAGAGTTGTAGGTGAGTGACCTTTCTGTTTCATTTGCGTTGATCGTAGTATCAAAAGAACAAGTCATTTTCGATAGACCTTGAAAAACTGGCAAAATAAAGTTTTCAACTGGGTTACCGATAATTTTTTCACTCGAACGCAAGTATCATGTGGATTTTTTTGAACGTCCTTTCTTGTTCACTTCAAATGAGGGTGATGACAAGTCCCCTTACAAAGAATATCAAAGATTAATGATCAGTTGCAAAGTTAAGCTTTGACATTGACCACCGACAAAATTCGTCCTGCAGATTCCACTGTAAGGCCACTAGTTGAAAAGTAGAGCCCAAAGACAAGGCATTTATGGACTAACACCAGATGTTGCTGTTTCGACCAGCCATATGTCTCATTAGTCATCAACTGTCCATGAAGAATCGGCCTGACATCGATGACATTTCATCTCACGAAGTCGCCATCTATAGGATAGACAGAAAACTCAATCTTCGAATATCGAAGATAAAGGGGGCTTCATATAAGCAAAGCTTCGACATTGATCGCCGGCGAAATTCGTCCTCTGTCTTCCACTTGTTGAAAATCAGAGCCCAAACACACTGTGCTGTTCATTTTGTCAAACGAGATTTTTGAAGACAAACCAACTGATATTTTGTGCAAAATCAGTTTTCGTTAACACAATTTCCAGAGATGTTTAACACCGATTTGAACATCATTTTAGTTATTTCAAAGTGCTAGGAACTGCACATTGATGGAGATAACCTTATTAGAAATGACCTTATTAGAAATGACCTTACCGATTATAAACTGATTTGAAATCGTTCCTGTGGAAATGATAGCTGCTTAATAAAATGATCCATTTTAACCTATTTCCCAACTTTTTTCAAGATGTCAAGGGAGATCTGCAAAAAAGTTTGAAAATAAGACGAATTTGAGAAGAAAAATTGAAAGAGATTGTTGCTCTTTTAATGCATTTTTGTCTTCCAAAACGTAAAGGTACTCACCTATAAAAATTTTAGATTTTTATGCCAAGAAACTTCTGAATAAAATGTTTTTCTTCGTGATGAATTTACTGAATCCATTCAGTATTTCACTCAAGATATCTGTATATAATTTTTCATAACAACTGCAATTTTATCAAATTGTAGTAAGTGAAAATTTCCAGAAAAGTCGATGAAAAATTCTGATTCACTTCACAAAAATGAACGTGATGGAATTTGCCGAAAATTGGTGAAACTTCATCATACCGTATTTAAATAACATTTTATTGTTATACTTTCTGGAATCATTTCACAAAACCACAATATGTGTTTCACTATACAAATTAGGTTTGTTTCAATCGTGTTCAATACTGCCATTAGTATTCAGTTGGACTGGTTTTGCATTGAACCGCCTTTGGAAGCCTCGTTTATCATCGATATTCCTTTGGGTCGTTTGCCGAGCCCATAGATAGTGATATTGATCACAGTTGATCTCATTTCGGAACAGATATGATCTGAAATGGAATACTAACAAAAAAGAAATGAATATGGAGTTACTAGAGTTGAAAAATACATTGAAATGAACTATATAAATCCACTATGTATATGATTCACTGAACTGCATTCCGTTTTCACTGTTAGTTGGGTTATTTGCTTT